AAATTAGAGATAATCACCACACAGAAGATACTGGTATTAAGGGGTATCAGAAAAGTCTTATTATGGAAGGTGGGATTTGAACTGACATGAAGGCAACCAAGCAAGGCAGGAGATAGAGATTTCTAAGCACTAGAGATAGCCCAGAGGTGACAGATAGAGTGTCTTATGTGAAGAATGCCAAGGAGGCCAATGACACTGCATGGCAAAAGATGTGAGAGGTAAGGTATAAGAAATCTGGAAAGGTATGAGAGGGCCACGTTATTAAGGGCTTTGAACACCAAATGGAAGCTTTTGTATTTGATACTGGAGGTGACAGGGAGTTTACTGAATGGTGGGTGGGAGTAGGGGGAATGGTCCAACCTGTGCTTTAGGAAGACCAATTTGGCAGTTGAATGAAGGATACACTAGAGTGGGATGAGACTGGATGCAGGGAGATCAATTAGAAGGTTATTGCAATAGTCCAGGTGTGAAGTGATGAGGGCCTGGACTGCAGTGGTAGCAGTGTCAGAGGAAAGAAAGGATTTGTAAAAGCAATGTGTTGAAGGTGGAATCAATAAGATGCAGCAACAGATTAGACATATGGTATGGGGCAGGGGGACAGGGTGAGAGAGAATGAGGAGTAAAGGATGACACCTTGATTACAAATCTTGGTGACTGGGAATATGGTGATGGCCTTGTCAGTAACAGGAAAATTAGGAAGAAGGGGGCTTAAGGGGAAAGATGAGTTCAGTTTGAGACATGTTGAGTTTAAGATGTCTATAGTACGTCAAGTCTGTGATGTCCAATAGGCAGCTGGAGGTATGAGATTAGACGTAAAAAGAGAGGTTAGGGCTAGATAGGTAGGTCTGGAGTCATCAGTATGGAGATAATTATTTAATCTATGGAAGCTGATGAGGTCACCAAGCAAAATAGTATGGAGGGAGAAGAGAAGAGAGCTCATGACAGCCTTGGGAGATACCCATGATTAGTGAGCATGACTTGAAAGAAGTTCTAGCAAAGGAGACTAAGGAAAGGTCAGAGCCAGTATTCTAGTTTTCATTTTGAGTATTCTCCTCCCCAAACCAAACTAGACCCATACTCTCCCTCCTTTTTACTGTCTTATGCCATCCCACACATACCAAACTCTATCCATGTCCTCCTCCCTCCTTTCTACCAAGTTTTATTCTTCGTTCAAGTCCTTGCTCAAGACTTATCTCTTGCAGCTACCTCAAATTAGAGCAATCAATATTATACCCTTACCCATACCCGATATCAATTTAGAATTGTTTCATTGTTGTCGTATGTTTTGTCTCCTCAGCTAGACTGTAATGTCCCCAAAGGCAGGAAACTGCCTTCTGCCTCAGTGTGTCCTGGAGCACCTGGGCCCTTCTCTCTCTACACCTGGGGACCTCAAAAGAGGCAGTCTAGTTTCAAAGTACTCTGTGGGTCCCCATCTACTCAAAACAGTTGGTCACAAGCCCCCCCCCCATGTGTTTGCTCTACTTTCTCTCTAGTCAGCAAAAAGACATAATTAGTTCAAATCAAAAGGCATTTAACTGAATAACATAGTAAGAAAATTCACAATAGAACATTCCTGTAATAAACATGGGGCATACTTTTCCACAAATATAAAAACAATTGGTGGAACTACATCACACATGAGAGAGACATACATGGGTAACATATGAGTAGGGGCAACTCACAACGTCAATGCTACAGAATGACATTCTGATGATGTCATCTTGCTGGTCCCACTAAACCTGCTCCTGACTGGGTATGGCTTCTCTACTAAGCATGTTCCTCCTCTGAAACACACTATTCCAGTGATAATAGATTTACTGATCCTTTTTGATCCCAGCAGCAGTAGCATCACTGAAGTTAGTATTTAAATGACACTTTACAAACATTATCTACCATTTTATTCTCACAACAACCCTGCAAGGTAGGTGCTATTCCTATCCTCATTTTGCAGGTGAAGAAACTGATACAGAAAGAGCCAATTGGCTTGCCATGGGGTTATACAACTAGGAAGAGTCTGAGGCCAGATTTGAACTCAGATTTTTCCCCCCCATCTTTCTGCTCCAGAATGCCATTTCTACCTCTTCTATAAAGACATTTGGGTCTTTGATGTTAGAGTCAAGTGTGGTGTTTCTACTATCCTTGATAGGGAAGGCAGTTTGTTAAAATAACTCAGATTTTATTATCACACTATTCTTAGTCTTCCTGGGAAAGCCAAATATCCTTGATGTTTGAAGTTGGAAAAGAGTGTAGTAAATATCTGAGGCAGGATTTGAACTCAGGTCTTCTGACTCTAAGTCCAGTGCTCAGTATACTGTGCCATATAACTGCCTCAACAGATAGTTGAGTTTCTGTTTTTCTATTTAAATTACTGCTTAGCAGCCAGTATGGCATAACGGATGGTGTGCTGAACTTGGAGTCAAAAAGCCCTGGGTCCAAATCCTACCCTGACACTCATTAGCTGTATAACCACAGGTAAGTGTTAATTTTTATAGATTCCATTTTCCTCATTCCTAAAATGAAAAAGTTGGACTCAGTGACCTTCTAGCTCTAAAACTATGATCCCATGAACTTCCTTTGGATTCAGCAGCCACCTCCTATATATAAAATGTCACACTGAACTTGTCATAAATTCCTCTTAGACCTCTGCCTCCCTTTGAGGTCCTTTGCCATAGACTGTACTATGAAATGTCATGGCAGCACTGACTGTGTTTTCCCATATATTTCCCTTTAGGATATAAACCCTTCTCTGCTTCCAAGGGGAGGACACCAGTCCCCAGCTCTGTTCCCCTAATTTATTAATTGTGGTTTTTTTTTAATTTATGTGCTCGTCTGTCCCCAGTAGTAGAATAATTGATTGGAACATCCATTCATGGCTTGCTGTGATTGCATGAATCAATCAATCAAGAAACATTCATTAAGTACATCAGGTACTGGGAATACAACACCATAAATGAAACAGGCATAAATGTAAGCCCTAAGGAAGATTACACTCTAGAGGGAGCTACAGCATGTACCTCTAAGTACACAGGAAATAAATACCAGGTAATTTGGGGATGAGGAGCTAGCATTTTAGGATTAAGAAAGGACTCAGGTAAAAGATGGCATTTGAACTGAGCTTTGAAGGAAACAAGGACATCCACTAGTACCAGGGAATGCCAAGGATATCCTTCCAACTAATCTCTTTTCACTCTAGACCACTAAATGTTTATGGAATTCCTTCCTGTACCTCTTCACGAAAACCCAAGCACTGATGGGTTTGTCCCTTTGAGCTAAACAACTAGAGTTTTCGGTACCTGGTATTTGCAGAATGATAAGTCAAACTAGAAATAGAGCCAAAGCCACAAGGAGAGAGATGATAGCAGTGATGGTAGTATATGTGTTTGGTCGGGGGTGGGTGTCAGATATAAAGCGGACGAATCCAGGCTGCTGAAGTTCTGAGCTTTCATTACTACCTATGCACGCATTACTCGTTCTCATAGGTGCTTTGCAAAAGCAATCCTGTTCCACCAAAGAACCCATACTTCTGACACACCTGAGGCTATAGTTTCATAAATTATTGTCTGAAATGGTAATAACACATTGTCAGCAACTTAGCTCTGTGTGGGGCTTGAAACACCCTCACCATTCGTGCAAGACCTTTCCCAACCACCCTGTGGCCAAATCTCCTTGTAGGCCCAGGCCCAGTGGTGAGATTCAGCAAGCTGGCAGGTGGTTTTCTGACCTGATTGCAAGGCTAACTAAACTAATTAATCACAGCAGACTAATCAGAATGACAAGGTTGGGGAGGTGACATTCTCCAAAATCTCCAATTTGTTTTTTTTTTAATCCCCATAGCAATTTATTTTCTGTACAGCGAAGTTTTCCCCAAGAATGTTCCCAAAATGTAGTCAAGGTGAACCATGCTGCGAGCTTATTCAATATTTATGATTCTTTTTATTTGTATTGCTAGGACTTTTTGGGGACTCCAAAAGGTCCATTAATCAAACGGAGTGACCAAATGAGCCATTTGACAATTGGCACAGGGGCTGAATATTATCATTATTATTTTTTTCTGTTCAAGAATAAAGAACCAACTTAACTTCATCAACAGTTGCTGATTAATTGTTACAAAGTGTCATCCATAAATTTCCCTTCGATCTAATAATCCTTTCAGACGACTTAACGATATCCCCAGTGATTTGGGTTTTATTGAGGGCTGAGTTCCTGGAGACGCAATGACACAAATAGCTCAAGTGAGCTGAGACACCTCCATGGACAGTCTTCACAGAGCTGACAGTTCTGAAATACAATTATCAGTGTGATCTGCTTAAGAATTCATCATCAGCTCCTGCCTTCTGAAGACTTAAAAAAATACTGAGACATACAAAGAGAAAGAGGTGATAAGAAGGCATCATTTTCCTCCAGCCTCATAACTGTAAATTGAAGAAAATTATTTTCTTTGCCTGCAGCTCATTGGCATATAGGCAGCATTATATTATAATTTCATAAGCATAAATCCTTTGAATAAATTTCAGAAGAATAACTGAATTAGAAATGCAAGTAAAGTATCTAAAAAACTTGAACTGTGCTAGGCAGAGGGAGCTGGTTGCAAGTAGCACTTTGGCAGAAGGAAATCCACTCTCTTGCTACCCATTCTTTTCTATGTCTAGGTTCCTAAAGGGCTCAAGAAATAATTTCTTTCAGGGAAAAGTGGTTTTTAACCTCTGTTTCCTTGTCTAGTAGTGAATGAAATAGCTCCCTCCTCCCCACCCCACCATCATGTTGCTTGGAATTTAAGTTGTAATTCATCATAAATTAATCTTAGCGAAACAACAGGCTTGGGGCGTGTTATAATTATTGTTATTTATTTATTTGTTATCATGTTAAGCATTATTTATTGTTATGTTAAGCATATGTGAGATCAAAAAGGTTGCTCCCAACAGTTTCCTAGCAACAACTCAGTCAGTTCTTCATATACAAGTTGCCAAACATTCTAATTCATTGAGGGTTGAGGAAAGGAAGTGGCTGTGAGGTTAAGTTCTCCCCAATTGTTTTATCCTTTCTTGAAGTGATTATGTAGAATGGATTGTCTCAGAAAAAGAGCCACAAAGGTAATTGTTTGTCACTAACAGATTAGATCATCTTAAAACTCAGGTCATTTACCAGTAAAATCATGCCACAAAATGAAAGTAGCAAATACCTTTACCCCAAACCCAGGAAGATTTCTTTTCTTAACCAAGAATATTGTCACTTGTTTAAGGGGACAGGCCACCCAGAAACACTTTGATTCAGCCTGGCCTTTAAATTCTATGGCAATTGTGAAGATGAAGTCACCCAGGGGCAGCTAGGTAGCACAGTGGATAGAGCTCCAGCCTTGGAGTCAGGAGGACCCGAGTTCAAATGTGACCTCAGACACATAACACTTACTAGCTGTGTGACCCTGGGCAAGTCACTTAACCCCAATTGCCTCACAAAAAAAAAAGTCACCCAAAGATATTGAGATTAAAAGAATTTGAAAAAGTGACTTTTCCATAGTCTGGGCTAGGTTTAGTATATGGTCTGGTTGTGGTATTTTCATCAATTTCACTTTTTTCTTTCCCACAGAGTAGTTCCAATGTTGCTTTAATGTTCTCCCTATGATTACTACAGAAAGGTAGGATCAGTGATTTTGTGATAGTTCCCCAACGTTTAAACTTGGTTTAGAGCCCATGTTTCACTGAGCTCCTATTTTGATGCTTCACTGTGATGCATAAGTGACCTTGGGGTTCTCAACAGTGATGCCATTAATACCCGCTACTAGGTCTGTATCCGAGAGAGAGAGAGAGAGACAGAGAGAGAGAGAAGAGAGAGAGAGAGAGAGAGAGAGAGAGAGAGAGAGAGAGAGAGAGACAGAGAGAGACAGAGAGAGAAGAGAAGAGAGAGAAAGAGAGAGAGAAAGAGAAGAGAGAGAGAAAGAGAGAGAGAAAGAGAAAGAGAAAGAGAAAGAGAAAGAGAAAGAGAAAGAGAGAGAGAAAGAGAGAGAGAGAGAGAAAGACATAGAAAGAGAGAAAGGAAGAAAGAAAGAAAGAAAGAAAGAAAGAAAGAAAGAAAGAAAGAAAGAAAGAAAGAAAGAAAGAAAGAAAGAAAGAAAGAAAGAAAGGAGGAAAGGAGGAAAGGCGGAAAGGCGGAAGGGAGGAAGGGAGGGAGGGAGGGAGGAAGAGAAAAGGACCTATTTGTACGAAAATATTTATAGCAACTTTTTCTTGTGGCAAAGAATTGGAAATTGAGGGGATGACCATTGATTTGGGAATGGCTGACAACCTGTGACATATAATTGTAATGGAATACTATTGTGCTATAAAAGCAGGATGATTTCTGAAAAACCTGGAAAGACCTACATAAATTCATGCAAAGTGAAGCGAGCAGAACCAGGAGAACATCGCACCCAGTAACAGCCATATTGTGTGATGATGAACTATGAATGTCTTAGCGATACAATGATCTAAAATAATTCCAAAGGATTCATAATGAAAAATATTACCCACCTCCAGAGAAAGAACTAGAGTCTGAATGTTGATCAAAGCATACTATTTTTCACTTTATTTTTTTCACATTTTTTTTTGTCTGTGTTTTCTATCACAACATGACTAATATGGAAATGTTTTACATGATTGCACATGTGTAACCTATATCAAATTGCTTACTGTCTCAGGGAGGCAGAAGGGGAAGGGGAGAGAGAGAGAAAATTTGGAACTCAAAATTTTTAAAAAATAAATTTTAAAGATTGTTTTTATACATAATTGGGAATAGAATATTTTTTTTAAAGTGATGCCATTGAAGCACCAGCTCTGACAGGTTCCACTAAGTTGGAAAGTCTTCAAGCATAGCCACATATCTATTGTCTGAGAACCAACAAATCTAGCTAAGTTTAGAGAGACTTCTCTCCAGGCTAGCCATAGGATGATAAACATTTTGGTCACAGCTATTCTTAAAAACCACCTACTGAAGTCAATCAATCAATTGACAAGTGATTACTAAACATTTACTACAGGTACTATTCTAGACACTGGGGATATAAAGACAAGAATGAAATAGCCCCCGCCCTCATTCATAGTATCAAAGAATCATGAGTTTAAAAGTGGGAAGGACCTCAAAAGCCACCTACAAATGAGGAATAGGCTCAAGGAAGTTAAATAACTTGCTCAATTTCACACAGGCAGGGTTTGAACCCAAATCTTGCAGTTCTAAAGCCATTCATTCTGTGAGGTTATAGAGGGATGGTTCTTTGACCCCCTATGGAACAAGTGTTCAAATTGACAATATTGTAGATCCTCAAATATTGACATTAAAAAAAAAACTTATTCAAAACTTGTCAAAATTTGTAGTCATTGGAAAATCTATTTTCTAGTATAAATGGTGGACAACATCATTAATAGAAAGATTGCGTGTTACTGGAGTATTGTCATTAATATTGTCATAATTATTTAACTAGGATTAATAGTACCCTAAGTTTAGTGATCATAACCTAAGCATTTCACAGTGTTTAATTTTTTGGTGCTTTTCAAACAAGGGCTATATGACAATTACAACACCTAATTGAAAGGTGGAAAATAGAATCCCTGGTTGACTTGTCTGCCTGATCCCACAAACACAGCTTGATGGAAGCTTTTTTCTCCCACTGAACTGACTGGCTCACACAATTGGTTTTGCATTGTTTAGATGTAGTCTCCCTTTTTAAAAAAAAAAATAATCTTCTGGAAGAGATTGAAGTAGTTGGCTGGTCTTTGGCATGGCTCAGGTCAGAGAGAAGTCTGCATAAAAACAGAAAGAAGGCTTAACAAATTTCTGAGTTCCACAAACTAGACCCGGCTGCCTCTGGGACGCCAGGCAACATCTTAATCCAAACTGTCTCCTTTTGTCTCCTTTAATGGCATGTACGAAGTCCATATGCAAAAACAAAACATGGGGGAAAACTGCTTTGTAGACTGGGCTGAATTAGCAGACTCTTTGAGCAGTCAAGCACTGATTTCAGGTTGTAAATCCACTGTTGATATAGGCTGTTGTGAACTGAGAGCATTTTTTCCAGTATTGGCTCAACTGGTACTCTTCTGAAGCCCACTTAAGTGAATTTTATGCAGGATGGTATATACATGGGGTTTAATTTGACCCTCAAATACATACACGTTAGTGAAATTGGCTTGGCAGTTGGTATATTATTTTATAAATTAGAGCCAAATAGTTTTAAGAAGCTTAACCTTTTCCCATTTTCACCTTGCTCTCCTCAGATGCCTTATTGTTTTCCCATTATTTCTCCCCTTTCCACATTCTAGCATGGTAAAAGACAAGCAGTATCAACTGTATTAAACATATGAATGTTCCATAAAATTTTATTTGTAAGCATGCCAGTTTAAAAGTTTTTTGTAAAATAAAATAATTGTATCATTTTGGGAAAAAACAATGGAGTTTTCCTATAATGGACCATTAATTCTGGGTCTGAGAGTTTTATTGCTCTCCCACTATTGTGAGGTTTCTTATTCAGCAGCCCATAGTTTGGTTTGTCAGATCTTTGTTACCCTATTACAGCTCCAACCGCGTTTCATCAAAACCAGATTTACTCCTGCTCTAATGGGATGCGTCCAAAGGATCCAATTTGCCAACCAAGCTTCCAATTTGCTTAGAAAGTAACAGAAATAGAATAGAGAATCTGTAAAAACAAAACAAAACAAAAAAAAAAAACACCTTTATATACATCTTTCCCTAACTGCTTCCTAACATAAAAGAGAAAACTGAGTGAGAAAAGAATGAATTTTAACCCAATGTGTGTGTGTGTGTGTGTGTATACACATATACATATATATGTATATGTATATATGTAAAACTTAAGGGAAACTTGCCAACACCCCTTAAAGAAGGAAAAGGACATCAGATCAACTAGAAGGCTATTTTTTCTTCCTTTGGGAACCCTATTTCATTAACTCTTTCAGTATGTCTTACAATTGCCAATCTGCTATGAAATCATTGGTCTGGACTGCCCCTCCCTCCCAAATCAGTCTATTCCAGGGGCCCTTTACCTGAGGTCCACCAGACCCCAAAAGAATTTGTGGGTAAATTTCAGGGGTGGGGGGAGGTCCATGAACGTGGATAGAGGGAAAAAATTACATCTTTATTTTCACTATAATTGGTTTCTTTTGTAATCCTATCACTTTATGTACTTAAATATATTATTCCATGAAGGAGTCCATGGGCTTCACCAGACTACCAATGGTATCCATGATATGTAAAAAGGTTAAGAACCCCTGGTGTATTTATATATGTTTATATATGTGTGTCTGCTCCTGCTTCTATGTGAGTAACAGTTCTTTGTAAAGATTTTGTCTACTTATTTGTAAGTACAATGATATACAGCTTCCTGGCTCACCTCCTCCCCCCACCCCGAAATTATTTTAATTATGCTTCCCCGTGTACATTTTGTACTCAGACAGCCCCCTGCCCCCCTCACAAGAATGTAAGCTCCTTGAAGGAAAGTACTGTTCTTTTTTTTTTTTTGCTCCAAAACCTATTAGAGTGATTGATAATATCAAGAAAGTTAAAAAAAAAAAACAAGGAAGCATACTTGCTCACCAAAGGTGTTCCAAAAATGAAAGAGCATGAAGCACTGTTTTTCCTTTATGTTTTGTTATGCCAATTTCCTTTAAGTAATCATGGCTCTCCATGAAAAAGCCCCGTAACATTTTCGGGCTTGATGCAATCCGCATAATATCTTTTGCCATTAAAAGAGTCTCAAAGACCTCACCATCTATAAGGAATCCCTTTCCCTTTGGACTCTGAAACAATCTTTGGTGAACATACATCTCTTTTCTTTGCACAGAGCTATCTATCTGGTTATATTTATCAAAGATTCTTTCATGATCTTGTCACATGTGTGCATAGCTCCTTATTGGAGGAGAGCCTTTAGGGTTGAGTTTTGCTCTACAAAATCAAGTGCTTTTTTTGTAATCATAAATAATAAACATGGCAGGATCCTATATTCTCTTCATCTTGCAGCCAACTGTGTGACTATAAAGATGTGTTCTGATATAAACAATAGTTTGTGAAACAGCCTGTTTCTGTCTCATATTTTCATCAAAGATAGCTTCTATAGACATGGAGAACATTCTCATAAAGATTTCATAAAGATGAGAAAGTAGGCATACATGTGGGTTTGTAGTTATCGAAGTTCCCCACATTTTCTTGTTTGGGTCATTAATATTGCATGGTTTCATTTTTTCCCTCATTCTTCTGGCATCTTCCCCTGCCTGCACTATCTTGTAAAAACAATCTCAATGCTTTCCAGATTTTATCACCTCCAGTACGCATCTCTTCAGAGTATATTTGATCTGGAATAGCTCCTCTTCTGACTTCAACTTAAGTGCCATTTCTACTTCTACTTTAGAGACTGAGGTGCTAGACTCCAAATCCTATCATTTGACACTACTGATAATAATAGGTCATTATAGAAACTTCAATACATTTATGCTATTTTATATTTATTTTTTGCCCTGCCAATTATTTTAATATTTGGGGGATGATGTCATCATTTGCACTTCACACTCACTTTCCCAGAGACTTCTTTTTGCTCCCACTGCTTTCTGCTGCTTTAAGCAATGATATTGCCCTTACTCTTCGTCACCTTCCTCTTTATTGTTTTACAAACAATATAGTTTGTAGCCTGAACTAGTGATGTTCTTAGTTGCCATTTCATTCTACTTGGCAAGGAAGTCAAGCAATGCTGGTTAAGGCACTTTTTAGACTCTTTTGTCCTCCTCTCTGTAGTGACTACTTCACATTAGTTAACCTTTTGCAGGAAATGGTAGTAATTAAGGTCAACATATTTGTCATTTAACACAATTTTCCCATTTGTAAAACGAGCATACTAACAGCACTGACCTCATAGGGTTGTTGTGAATATCAAGTGAGATAATATGTATTTAAAGCCATATAAAAATGCTAGCTATTAGTATTATTGCTACTTTCTATTTCCTATTTTTCAGTATCCAGTCTTCATTTGAATAGGCCAAGTTAAAGCTGTTTCAGTCATTTTACTATCTTCTGATTTTTAAGCCTTTCTTTTATTTTAGTGTTGACTTCAGCCTTTTTTTTTGTAATTATTTGATGGTCTGAATACATTGAGACAGGCATAGTTAGTGTAGTCAGGAAGAATCATCTTCATGAGTTCAAATCTGGCCTCAGACACTTACTAGTTGTGTGACCCTGGGCAAGTCACTTAACCCTGTTTGCTTCAATTCTTCATCTGTAAAATGATCTAGAGAAGGAAATGGCAAACCACGCCAGTATTTCTACCAAGAAATTCCCAAATAGGGTCATGAAGAGTCAGACACAACTGAAAAGACTGAACAACAAACATACATTGAGATAGCTACTTTTGCTATTGCTCTCATATCAGTAACTGTGGTTTCCTACCACGACATACTCAATTTCTTTTGTGTGTGTCTCTGTGTGTGCGTGTATGTGTGATGTCTTTCCACGTCCAAAGACTTTTTACTCTGTTCTGTAAGAAACTACTCAGGATGTATAGGCACCAGGCTTCTGAGTCATCTTAAAAGATTTTAGCCTCTTTCATTTCTCAAACCTGAGTCATATCTTTTTGCCATCATCCCTTGTGACCACCCAAACGTTAAGTTCATCAGGTTTCAACATATATCTTAACTTGGTTTGGAGAGTCTTGTAAAGTTCTTAGAAATTTGCTTAGATAGAAATTTGCTACCTCTTCATCTTCTGGAAAAAAAAAAAGAATGTTGGCACACAAGCCATAATTATTTCCATGGCAGTCCTTTTGTATTGCAGCATGAGATTGCTAAGTGTCCCATAAGATGCTATTTCTGATTGTATTTGGTCATACAATGAAACCCACTCTGTCAGCACGTTGTTTTAACCTCTCCAAAGAGTACCTGTAAACTTTTATATTTAGCATTTGTCTCTCATTTATTATGAGAATATCATTATTGGTGTGATTTAATAACACATTGGTGTGGTCTAATAACACGTCAGTTTTTTCATCATTGGATGAAGATCTCACACATCTAAGTACCTATGGTTACTAATGTTTATAGGTAGTCTAAAAGATGTGTGATTCTTAGCACCTCTACCATCTTTCCTAATATTTAAGCACCATCTCTATGGAAACAGAAAGAGGCTGCTTAGGGCTGAGGACCATTTTATTTTTTTTTCTTTGTTTCATGGATTGCTATGACCAAGAATGTATCACCTAATGGCCAACCTACTAGTGATGAGTCTCTGTTCTTAATAAGGTTGGTTCTCAGATAGTAGACATAGTCGGTTACTGACTTATTCCAGAATAGGATGTATGTGTGAAGTCAGATTATCAGCTTTACTTTAGAAGAGGTTCATATGAACACCAAATGATTATAAAAGAAAGGGCAAAGTTGAGAAAATACTGTATGACAATATAGTAGTTACAACCTGACCTATTTAAAAAAAATATTTCATTCCCCAAAAAGGGAAATGATAAAAGTTTTTTAATGGACTGATCATAACCATTTCTTAGAAAAATTTAAATAAAACTTAAGTAAAATAATCACATCTATGAGGAGGTGTGCCAATCATATAGAGGAAGCAGGAGCTAACAGTCCAAAGGTTGGGACGATATGCATGAACTACTTAAAGACTCACAGAAAAAGTCTACAGTAAATTGGGTCAGACTTCTATGGAGAATTTATGAAAGAACATAGAAAAAAAATCACACAGGATGAAAAATCATAAATGGATTTATAATCTGCACTGGTGGAGGAAACACCCACACTGAGATCACTGATCCATTGAGGTCTAAAAGCAAGTATAGGACTTTATATGTATCCTTCTTAAATTTCATCCTCTTAAGGTGAAATTTTCTGTCTGAAGATCTTTTTGGATCCTAACTCCGACAGACAATGAAGAAATTATTGTCTCAATCCAGAAAATCCTCTGGGTTTTCAGATCTACTCTTCTTCCATCTAACAGTTGGCTATATCTTAATCACAACTTTTCCTCTTTTCTGGTACCCCCTGATCTGGCCCTTCAAGTATTTGCAAAAAACTACCACCAGACACTGGGAAAAGTCATGGTGACCTGGCTCCTCCATCTTTAATAAAATGAAGTTGTAATTACCTTTATTGATGAAATTGAGCAACCCTGCTTTACCACTGAACTGAACCTCTCCAGTTTCTTGTTAGAGTGGATTTGCCAGTTGGCCTTCCTCAAGATTTTTTTCCCTAATAAGCGAGAGGACTCAGCTATTATTGAATCCACTTAGTTCAAACCCATGAAGTACTCTAATTATTCTGAACAGGCCTTAGTTTCAGCCAAAACCCTTTCCAACATGACCTTCTAACAGGATGTTCACAGTCCCCCTCTACTCTGGCCTCTTATGGCCACAAGAAGGGACAGGAAGCTCACCATTGCTAATATAAAGGACAGTAGAAACTTTTAAAGGAACTATCTTACCACCACACTAAGTGCAGATTGGATTACTATGATCCTGTTTTGACCTTGGTTCCATACTTTGGATTGAAAATTTCAACTTTAGATCAAATTGGTGTTAAGAAATTTTACACAGGAGTATGTTGCAGAGTTTGTGATACTGTGTCTGTCAAGATTTATGTATGATTTGTGATTGCTATCCCTTCTTGTTATATGTGTAAGGGTATGGTTTTACTCTTTATAATTGAAATTGCTACACTTGGAGGAATGTAAATGAGTCAATATTGTTCACTATAAAATAAATATGTATAATACATATGGATATATGAATGCACACACACATTTATTCATATCTAGAGTAATACACAAGGCCTTTATTCCTCTGTTAGGATCTTTGTGTATTGGAAGTTAATTTCTCCTTCTCCTATGCAATCTGAGCTAATATTTCACACATAGAATCCTAAGAGGAAAAACACTGTAAGCACCACTGTAAGACCTTTGATTCCTCACTTGAGAGAATATCAAGGCCATTTTTTGGGACATTTTCCAAATAATTGATGAAACAGAACTATTTTGGAAGATTTATGTCCATATCACATGGCATATATGCTGTAAATATTAATTGTCCTTTGCTTTTTTTGCTTTCACCCCAAAAACCAACTGAGAAGGTTTTCCCCTCTTTTCCCAATAATATCCTGATAGGCCCATGTGGGCCCAGAAAGTCCTATGATACCTGGTATCATAGATAAGACCCTCAACATCTCCTTTGTCAGTCAAACTTCAGTAAATCAGGGAACTTTCCACTTATCTAGCTAATAAACAAAGATATCAAAACATTAACCTGGAAGTGAAAGGAAGAAGGTAACACTTTGCTCTCTACCAATCACCATACCAGAATCCCCTCCAAAGAAAGGAGCATCTCTAACATATATAAGAGATGGGACTTTTCTTGTAAAAAAAAAAAAAAGAAGAGCTGAAAAGCTGTCATACCACCATCCCAACTAAGATGAGGACTTGGAGGAGTATACTATCCCACTCCTATTTCCAGTCCTCCTAAGTCTTCAGTTGGTTGTACAGAATATCTTTTAATAAACTTTTTTAAAAAAAATCTAAGTCTTATGACTTTACTTTTCTCTCCAGTGCAGAATCTGAGTTTCTACATAATCACATATTTGGAGATTCTTTTGCTTCTAGTCATAAGAACTTACAAAAGAAAGCCTTTGGCATCAGAAGTATTCCATGTCTCAAAATTTATCACACATGCTTCACAAGGAGACATTGTCAGTAGGCTTATTTGCTAAGCGCTTATGGATAAAAGCATCATTGTCTACTTCTTAGACTGGGCCCAGATGAACTATGTATGTAAGGTAGGTGACATGAAGTCCCCTGAGTTACTGCTAATCAATTTTAAGGTCCTGGTGTATCTCCAGGAGGGTATAGAGGTAAAATGAAAGGCTTTTTGGGAACACAACTCTCCACTAATGTAGATGCCAATGGAGGGAGTGGATGTGAGGTGGGTACAGAACTGTTCCCACTAAAAGGTGTTTTGCAATTTTTTTTCTATCTGACCCCTATACCTCTACAATAAATAAAGTAATATGGTTTATGGTGTTAGATCCCTACCCCTGAAGAAATGCTTAAATCATACAGATGTGTCTGGATTCAGATTTAATTCCTATCCTATGTTATGATTGATATATTGTCAAGTTTAACTTTTCAGCGCTTGTATGACCAGTTTTGTATATCTTTATTTACTTTTCCCTGTTGACAAGGAGGGCCTACATAAAGTATGGTGAATATAGAACTGTTCTCAAAGCCAGAAGATCTGATTGTCCTCAAACCCGGAAAGACCAAGGTTCAAACTCTACCTCCAACACATACTGGTTGCATGACTTTGGGTAAGTTACTTAACTTCTTGATGCTCTAAGACTATAAGTTGCAAAGAAAGTCAGGAGATGCACTGAGGGAGTTTCCCCAATCTGAGACTTCACTATCCCAACACAACCACAGCCAGTCTCTATCCTCTGTCTTATATCCTGTAGTTACCTATGGGGCACAGCCAGCCTAGTGATGGGTGGACGATTGTAAAACTTAGCCTTTCTCTGTCCAACTGGTCTATGACCTAGCCACGCCTGTTCCCCTTAACTAATATCGTCTCCTTTCTGCCATATCCCTTATCTATAAGGCTATATTTCTTCATATATGTCATCTTCTATTCAAGGTTACGAGGTTGGTTGGAGCAAAGAGAATTTGAGGGAAACAGTAGGAGATAAAAGCTTGAGAGATAGGTTGTAATTAGACCTGAGATTCGAGGGCAACAACTTTGAACTTTCAATAAATGAAAACATGCAATGAGATAAATGCTGTTCTCTCTCTTTGAGCGTAAACTTTCTTTGCTTCAAGATCTGTGTCTCCTACTTCCAGATTCCTTCTCCAAATTAGTATTATCACCATCCCTATTCCTAATTTGTATTATTATAATGAATAATTAATATTTGGGGGATTACAATGTGCTTTACACGCCATCACATTTGATCCTCACAAAACTCCTGTGAAGTAGTTAATGTATTATTCTTATTCTCATTTTGCAGATGAGAAAACTGAATTTCATAGAGATAAATTAACTCATCCAAGGTCACTTTCTTGGTGGTTTTTTTTTAACTCCTTATATATTTTAAGATTTTTTCCAAGTTAAAAAAAATCCATTTTCTCTCTCCCTCCTACCTGCGCCTTGCTTGGGAAAATTAAAAAAAAAATCATGTAAAAAATATGTGTAGTCAAGCAAAATAAATTCCTATACTGGTCATATGAAAAATATATCTTGTTCCTTGAGTCCAACATCTCAGGATATAGATAGCAAATTTTGCCATTGGTCCTCTGGAGTTGTGGTCGGTCATTGCATTGATCAGAGTTCTTAAATCTTTCAGAGTTGTTTGTCTTTACATTGCCTTACCAGCATTAATACACTGTTGGTAGAGCTGTGAACTCACCTAGCCACTCTGGAAAATAATTTGGAACTATGCCTAAAAAGCTATTAAACTGTGCATACCCTTTGACCCAGCAATACTACTATGAGGTGTTTTTGTGGCGGCAAAGAATTGGAAACTGAGGGAGTGCCTATCAATTAGAGAATGGCTGAATAAATTATGATATAGGTTTGTGATGGAATGTTGTGTTAACAATAACATGTATACATACGTATCATATACATAATATATATATATATCACTTACTACCTACCAGACCCTGTGCTGAGTGCTTTATAATTATTATCTCATTTGATTTTGCTATTAGAAGTGATAAAAGAAATGGTTTCATAAATATCTGGGAAGACTTGTATGAATTGATGCAAAGTGAAGTGAGCAGACCCTGGAGAATGATTTATGTAATAATAACTATACTGTAAAGACAAGCAGCTTTGAAAGACTGTGAAACTCTTATCAACACAACGAAACCAACCAAAGTTGTAGAGAAGTCATAATGAAACATACTAGCCACCTCCAAATAGAGAGATGATGGAGCAGATTGTTGGGTTTTTGTTTTGTTTTGTTGTTTTTAACATGTGAGAATTTCTTTTGCTTGTCTACATATATTTGTGATGAGTTTTGTTTTTCTTGCTTTCTCAGTGGGTAGGGGAGAAGGAGACGGGAGGAAGAGAATTTGGAACTGAAAATAAAATAAAATGGAATTTTTTTAAATGCCTTATCAGATTTCTCTTATTACGAATTAGAAGCAATAGCCCAAATAGACCAATACACCATTCCCAAGACCAGACTAAGCAAAATAAATCCACATGAACACAAATGGGAAAAATATGAACTCAAATATAACCAATCACAAATGACCAGATGTATATAGAAGAGCTAAAGGGATTGCTGATGTGACTGATAACTGGAGGTGATTGTCTGGTTCTGACTTCCTAATTATGAAGAAAAGAAATTATTCCCTCTATGCTTTTGTTCTGATTGCTACAGTGAGAAGATCTCAAAGTCAGTCTTTCAGACTATATCATCTAGGTTCCTAAAGAACACAGAGCTTGTGTTATGTGAGGAGAGCCTCATCTCTGTAAACTTGAATAAGTCATTCATCCTCAGTTTCTTCCTCTATCAAGTAAAGTGAGTAGACTAGCCAACTTCTCAGGACCCTTCCAGCTCTAACATTTTATTAGTCTATATAGAAAAATTATAAACAGAGCCAATAGAATGTGTTTTCTTTTCAGAATGGCAGGAACCAAACAGTCCAGGGCTGGTTTATGCATGGAAAGAGGACAACATAACAAAGAAGGATAAATAATTGAGATCAGAGCAAAAGATGTTTAATCTAGCTTCAGCTCAACTGAGCAGCTTAATTCTGAGCAAATACATACACTGTAGCACCGGCCTTCTTTGGAAGCAATTTTGCATGATCCTGTGAAAGCTGTTGATTTTTCTCATTGGAGCTCGGCCAATTCAGCTCAGTTCACCAAGGTTCCCATTGCAAATTTAGTCTAGTGTTTTTTGCTAAAGCTACCTGAGGTGCAGTAGAGAAGCCTAGCATATCTATTATTTTCCTAAATGAAACGATAGGCAGAAAGGGGAGAAAATATATTTCTTTTCTTTTTTTCCTTTTCCTTTCTTCCCTTTAAAAAAAAATCAGACCGATGTTGTGATTAACTTGCATTCTGCAGCCTAGTGGATGTGACAGTCAACCAAATTAATCCCATTATGCAAAATCCAGTTCACAAATGGTTTTGCATTTTTGCGAAATTATGTCAATTTTCCCATAAATTGGAGAGACTGTGTCAGTTTTCTGAACTACACATAGACACTACACAGTGCTGTATGTCTATATTCCTCTAATTCAGAAAGATACAGATTTTAGCTCCGTGGCACAAATTAGGATTCATAACTTTAATGCTGATGTTTCTGTTTACATGAGACTTGCATGAGAATTACCATTAGTTTTTGCATTCATTTTAAATCTTTCTTCGGCATCATACCCATCATAGGGGGGAAAGCATTAGGAGCTCGAAAGATGTTTAAATCAAAATCCTTAATTATTTTTAATATTAGAGACATGATTCACTTTTTCTTTTCTTAAATGCGTTTTGAAATCCCTAGCTGGGTGCCTATAGCCCTCCCCTTGTCTCTCTCTCTCTGTAGGGTTTTAAATAGTTGAGATCAACAGAGAAGGGTTTTCACAACTGCCATCCCCTTGGCGAAGAGCAGCCATACTGTAGGAGGCCAAATCTGTTTGGCATTGACTGTGAGCTGTGAATTCCCTGTATCTGGACCAACTTGTCAAATTAAAACCTTTCCTGCTTTGAGTGGAAGAGCAGACGTGATGCGGAAGGTCCGTGCACTTTGGCCCTTTGTCACCAGCACACTGAGCCTCTAACATCTGCTCGCTGGACTCTGTATTTTCACCTTGTTCATTTAGAATGCAGCAAGTCCCCTTCATTCCATGCTAAACATTGCCTTCTTTTTTTTTTTTTAGGCAGAAAGCAAAAGCTTCCTTGCTTTGAAGAGTGCAGGCTCTGAGGGCTAAATTACTTACTGAATTCAGAAAATCTATTTTTTAATGGTTATTCTTTCTTTGCGTAGCACTTTTTATTCCAGTAATGCTTTCTTGAACAGTGAATTGTTGACTTTTTTATGCTTTAGATTTATTAGACATGTGTCAAGTTGTCAGCCTCCTACCGTTTGCATTTGTGTCCACCTTGCAAACAGCAGGGAAAAATACTTTTTTTCCATGAACGTTCACTTCTTGGCAGTTCTGAAACAAATTTTTGAACAGTTGCTGTTCCTATTGATAGCAATAGTTTGATGTTTCAAAAAAAAGGGGTTTTATTTTCCCCTAAATTTTTGACATGTTCTGTCATATCATATCATATCATACCCCAATGCATCAAAAACAAAAAAAAAGGGGGAGGGCACAAACCACCCTGTTCACATAGATCATGAGCCTTTGCTGAACACCCACCCATCTGTTCACCGTTTTCGTCCTTTTGTTCTGTCTTTAATGCTGGTATTCCTCAATAAAATGTATTCTTGGCTCTTCTAAGAAATTGCAATCTTCTCTTCTTCAAGGCTGCACAATCTTTGGGGGAAATAATTTCAAGGAACTAGGATCCTCGTCACTTTCCCAGTGCTAGAGATTGGAATTTAGAAACACATATGAAACCAAAGGAGGGAAAACAGAGACAGACAGAAACAAACAGAGAAAGAGAGACAAATGGAGACAGAGTGTCAGAAGTAGAGAGACACACAGAGAGAGGCAAAGACAGAGGGGAAGAGACAGAGAGGAGAGGGAAGAGAGAGACATAGAGAAAGAAATGGAAAGAGACAGATACAGAAAGACAAAGAGAGAAAAGTGGAAGGAAGAAAATGTAGATGAAGAGAACACCAAATCTCCTCAGACTAAGAAACTCCTAAAATCATTGAGGCTGTTGGAGAAATACCTCCAACAATGTATACACTCTAGCGAAGATGTTGCCATAGACTTCCTCAGGATTATACTTTTCCTTTGAAATATGGGTGCCCAGGATTTTCTTGCCTCCACTCCCATGCCACAGCAGCTTGTCCTTTGTCACTTTGTCTGCGGGAGAGTTTCCAGAAATGGGAGGTGGACTAATTGGTTGGCATTAAAGTATTTCCTTTTCTATTCTGCCTAGCCCAGATGGTGTTTCTTATAATAAGAGTCAGTGGGTTACTCTATGACCATCCAGCCTCACCTCTACACAGCACCAAGAGGAGTCATCTGGATTTCACCTCAAAGCCATTCATAGCAAAAAAGAAAAAAACACCCTCAGTCTATCAAGCTACCTTAACTAGCCCACTGCCAGGTTTCATTGGGTCAGCCTCCAACGTGTATGCCATTCCTTCATTCATTCATTCGTTCATGCTGGGTCTTTGGGGGA